TCCCTTCCCAGTGTGGCTGCTCCCGGATCCCGACGGGCCGGGACCAGCGATGGGAGCGGAGCGGCCGCGACCGGCACGGGTCGGGAACCGGGCGGGTCCAGAGGAGGCTCCGGGGGCAGATCCCGGGGCGGTGCCGGTGCCGGGGGGAGGTTCCGGGACGCTTTCAGGAGCGCATCCCGGTTCCCGGGGCGGTCCCGGGGCGGTCCCGGGGCGGTCCCGGGGCGGTCCCGGGGCGGTCCCGGGGCGGTCCCGGGGCGGTCCCGGGGCGGTCCCGGGGCGGTCCCGGTTCCAGGGGCGGTGTCGGGGCGGTGTCGGGTCCCGGGGCGGTCCCGGGGCGGTTCCAGGGGCGGATCCCGGTTCCCGGGGCGGTTCCCGGGGCGGTTCCGGGGGCGGTTCCGGTACCGCCATGGCCGCGGGGCCCGTACGGGGCCGGCGCGGGGCGCTCGGGGCGCTCGGGCCGGGGGGAATCGGGGAACCGGAATGTGTGAGTGGGGAATGGGAATGGGAATGGGAATGGGAATGGGAATGGGAATGGGAATGGGAATGGGAATCGGGAATCGGGAATCGAGAAGGGAAACGGAAATAGGAATCGGGAGCGGGAATGGGAACAGGACCGGGAGTGGGAATGGGGACGGGAATCGGGACCGGGAACGGGAACAGGGAATGGGAATCGGGAAGGGAAACGGAGAATGGGAAGGGAAACGGGAATGGGAGCGGGAGCGGGAATAGGAACAGGAATAGGAATGGGACCGAGAGTCGGGAATGGGAACGGAATTGGGAATCAGGAATGAGAATGAGAATGGGAATCAGAATCGGGAATGGGAACGGGAACAGGACCGGGACCGGGAATGGGAACGGGAATCGGGAATCAGGAGTGAGAATCAGAATCAGCAATGGAAACGGGAACAGGACTGGGACAGGGACCGGGAATGGGAATCGGGAATGGGAATCGGGAATGGGAATGGGGACCAGGAGCGGGACTGGGAATGGGAATGAGGCCGGGACCGGGAATGGGGACTGGGAATGGAGCCGGGAATTGGGAATGGGGACCAGGAGCGGGAATGGGAATGGGGAGCAGGAGCGGGAATGGGAATGGGAATGGGGACCAGGAGCGGGAATGGGAATGGGGACCAGGAGCGGGAATGGGAATGGGAATGGGGACCAGGAGCGGGAATGGGAATGGGGAGCAGGAGCGGGAATGGGGCCGAGGCTCCGGGCCGTGCCACGCTCGGTGCCGCAGCAGTGACCGGATTGTGCAGCTGGAAAACTGGGAACGGGTGCCAGTGCTCAGGAAAAGCACAAACCCCATCTGCAGGGATGTCCCCATCCCTGGCGTGGCTTTTCCTGCTGTTCCTGGATTTAATGACTGTTCCACACCACTGCTCTGCTCCTTCCATGAACCCCATCCCAAATGCTGGGGGGCGGATGAAGGGTGAGGGGTGGATGATGAAGGATGCTTTTCTGTGGGAATCGCTGCCTTGGGACGGCGGGGACAGACTCAGGCGCTCTCTATTGTGGTGTTGAAGTTTGCAGTTTATTTCCTAGGGCTGGGTTTATATCAGGCCGTGCTGGGAACTGCAGCCACAGCTCAGAGCAGGGCAGAGAGAGGGACAGAGTGAGAGTGAGAGGAGAGAGTAAGAGTGAAGAGCAAAGAGAGAAAAGAGCGATTTTCCCCTTCACAATACATTAAATCTTCTTCTATGTTGAATATTCTAATTTCCACTAACCAATCTAATACAAGATACAAATTCTTTAACATTATAGGAATCACTATATTACCATATTTTACTGCTTTTCTTATCTCTAAATTTCGTCTGGGACCCTTCCTGCCATGCCTAGGGAGGATGTCTGTTTGATTTTTGGTATTTGCAGCATTTAGCTTTATCTAAACAAAGGGGCCTTCAGGCATTCAGTTGCTTTCAGCCACACAGTCGAAAATTGTTATAATTTCTACTTTGCTTATATTTTCCATATTCTCAAAGCCTTTTGCTAGGCACTCATATTTATAAGGTTTCCCTAATTCATCCTTCCCAACACTTTTCCCAGGGGCATTCCACGGAGCTGAGGCACAGAGAGGTGGGAGATACAAAATTCCTGCTCCCAGCATCAGGGCCAGTGAGAAATCCCAAATGCTCAAAATGCTGGGGTTGGGTGTTGTTCCCTGTGGATCCCTGGGAGGCACAGGCAGGGAAATGCTGAGGATTCGTGTCCTGTGCCTTGCACTGCCAGGTGAATTTTGCTTTTGGATTTCCAGAAGCGAGTGTGCCAGCTGCTGGACACCTTTCCAGGGGAGCCTGGTGCCCAGCTCGTGGATTGTGCCATGGATCTGGATTCCAGACACAAATTCCTGCCTGACTCTGCTGCAAAGACAAAGCACAATTCCATGGTGAGTCCCCAGTGGCCACGTGTTTGTCACAAAATCGCTTTTCAAATACGTTTTCTAATAAAGCTGCAAATAATTGCCCATTTTTAATTTTATTTGTATGAATTTGTGTCTGGTTTTGTTCCTCAGATTTTGGAAAATCATGGGAGCAAAGGCACTTCCCAGCCCTGCCCAAGATGTGTTGCTGGAGAATCTGTAAGTGTGGGAATCTTTTTTGGGACTCATTCCCCAGTATTAGATCCATGAAACATGAAATTAAGAACCACCACAACTGCATTGCTCAGGAATAAAGCGTGGAATTTAAAAATAAAGGAGATGGATTTAGCATTTCAGCAGAGCACAAATTCATATTCCCAGCAGCAGCTGGAAAATCTGGAGATTCTCAACACATTTTTCAAACTCTCTCTAAAAAGCAGAGTTTGGGAAGTAACTGAAAGAAACAATAACATAACACTTCCTCTACCCTGATTTCAGTTGTTTTTGATTTAGTGGATCATAACAAAATATTCAGGAATTTCATTCTGTCTCCTATTTTTTTCCTGTAATTGGATATTTCCTTCCTTAAGAGTAAATCCAGCCTTGAAAATATTGCTCCTTCCAGAGCCAAAATGAGGAGAGGTGTGGGGAAAATGCTGGATATCCATAGCAAAATCTGATTTATGGAATTAAAGGCAAATTTTCCACCAGGAGCTGTGAGTGAGCAGACAGTGATTGTGTTAATTTATTTCCACTCACCCTTGGAGAAAAAAAAAAAGGGATTTTTTTTTTTTTTTAATGATTTAAAGTTTTGCCAAACTCCTTTGTAATGACCTGAAATTTTCTCATTGCAGGGTCACTTCAGTCACATCCTGAGCTTCTAGAAATGGAGAAGGAGCAGAGGAGCAGCTCTGATTTCCTGCTGGGATCCTCAGGATGCATCTGGACCCTGGATCCTGGATCCTGGATCCTGCCTCAGCATCCCTCCCTGCCCTGCTGCCACTCAGGACACCCAGATCTGCAATTCTGCACCTGCTCAGAATGCTCTGCTCCTCAGGAAGCTCAGGAATTGTGTAAAAAGGACAAAAAAAGGCTGATTTCACGGTTAGGTAGCTCAGAATTTATCTAAAAAGGACAAAGTAAAGCATATTTCATGTACAGGTAGCTCAGAATTTATCTAAAAATGACAAGAAAAGGCTGATCTCATGTTTAGGAAATTCAGAATTTGTCTGAAAAGGACAAAGTAAGGCTGATTTCATGTATAGGTTGTTCAGAATGTGTTTAAAAAGAACAAGAAAGGCTGATTTCATGGTTAGGTAACTCAGGATTTGTTTAAAAAGAACAAAGTAAGGCATATTTCATGTATAGATTATTCAGAATTTATCTAAAAAGGATTAAAAAAATCTGATTTCATCTTTAGGTAACTCAGAATTTGTAAAAAGGAAAGGTATAGGTAGCTCAGAATTTATCTAAAAAGGATAAGAAAAAGCTGATTTAATGGTTAGGTAGCTCAGGATTTGTGTAAAAAGGACAAGAAAAGGCTGATTTCATGTGCAAGTAACTCAGAATTTGTTTAAAAAGGCTGATTTCATGTTTAGGTAACTCAGAATTTGTTTTAAAAGGCTGATTTCATGTTTAGGTAACTCAGAATTCCTCCTGAGGGGAGCGATCCCAATTTGGGTTCTCTTTGTTTGGCATTTTCCAGGAACACCAAATAGGGGAAAGCAGAGCAAGGCTGCTCTGATATTTCAATTAATTAACTATATTCTCCTAATGATGCCATCCGTGTGGGATCCCAAACAGGACACGAGGCACAGGGAAGGTGGCTGTGCCCATTTCCAGCTGTCCCAGTCACCTCTGCCTGGCAGAATCCCAGCCTGGTTTGGGCTGGACAGGACCTCAAAGCTGCTCCAGTTCCAGCTGGGCCAGTGCCAGGGCTCCAGGGGCAGCCCCGGGTGCTTTGTGCCACCTCACCTGCCACCCCTGGCTCTGCAGAAATTCACATTTCAGTCCCATCCTGTGGGATTTAGCCCCAAGTGGAAGCCCTGGAGCTGCTGCCCTGACTCCTCCTGAGCTCTTCTGAGTTTTATTCTGAATTAAATCACATGGAGCTTCTCTCAGACACCTCATCCTCCCTGATTTTTTTCCCAAATGGGAAGGCAGACACTGCTGGATAAATTTCAAAGTGAACTTTTCCTCTCAGCTGTGAATCCTTACCCCGTGTTTTCCAGCAGGGCAAGAAATGTTTTTTTAAATCAGGCTGGAAACAAATTGGAGTTTAATTGTCTGCTCCACTGAAAGCTTTTAATAGTGATATTTTTTTAAATAGAGGTGTTTGTAATTTATTTTGGGATTTTGCAGGCTCATAAAGAGGGCACAGGCTGGGGCAGTGAATATTCCTTTAAAGCAGATTTGTGTCAAATCTGCAGTGGAACCACAGAGTTATTTTTGTATGCCTTGCAGAACTCCAAAATTTTGTTTTCTTGATGAAAAAATATATAAATTTTCTATTTCCTACTGCTGTGGTTTGTACACAGAATAACCAGAGTGATGCTTTATTTACCTGTACATAGAGAGAAAGGCCCCTGGCCTGTTTTTAATTCAGGTTTAAAGATCTAATTCTTATTTTTAACTTTGTATTTTGTAAATTGTTCCTTACAAAAGCAGAAGCATTAAACACCACTTTGGCTGCAGCATGGGATTGTCTGGTTGTGTTATTCCAGGAATGAATTCTGAGGGCACTGAGGAATAAAGGTGAATAAAAGCTTGGATGGGGAGAAGAAATATATTATTTATGTCATGTAAAATCTTTGTAGTAGGTTTAATTGCTCACTTTATTAATTTGATTGTAATTGCAAGTCCACTTGGCATCTTGACTGAGAAAAAAAAAAGATGGAAAATCAAAATATTGGGATAAGTGGGGTTTAAAGGCAACCTGGGTCTGACAAGCCAAGACTTACCTATCAAAATAAATATAGTTCAAATATTGAAATTTATTTTTGTTTCTTTTAAATATTATTATTTATTGGACAGGTTTAAAATCCGTGGTGTTTATGTCTAAATGAGCTGCTTAAAACCTCAGCAGCTCTCCTGGGAGCGTGGTGTGATAACCCTGAGTTAGCAGATTCACAGTCAAACATAAATAACTCAGGGTTTGCCTTGATTACTGCAGGTAATTAGCAAATTAACACTCACACGGGGCATTTCCTCCCACGCCAGACGTGCCCTCAGCATCCCTGTGTGTGCACAGAGCTGGGCTTGGTGCTGGGAGCACCAAGGGATGGAGAAAAGTCGATTTTCCTGGGAATTCAGCTGCAGGGCTTGGGCTTGGGGTTGTTCCTTGTGTCCCACAGGTGACAAATGGCTTGGCCAGGGGTCCAGCAGCTCCTGTCCCCACCCCTGGGGCCACCAGGGCTCAGCCATTCCTCTCCCTGAGCTGTTCCCAGCTCTTCTCAGGGAAGCAAAGCAAAGCTGTGGCCACATTCTTTAGAAACAAAAATAAAAAATCCCAGGAAATGCAAGAGGAGCACGGAAAATTTCAGGCTGGAAAAGGCTCTGAGACCATCGAGTGCAGCCATTCCCAGCACTGCCCCGTGTCCCCAAGTGCCACCTCCACGGTGAAACCCCTCAGGGATGGGGACCCAGCCCTGCCAGGGCTGTACAGCCCTTCCCAGGAATGCTGGAATTCTCCCAAATATCCAACCTGGCCCTCCCCTGGGGCAGCTCGAGGCTCTTTGTTGTACAGAATCCCAGACTGGGTTGGGTGGGAAGGATCCCAAATCCCCCCCAGAGCCACCCCTGCCATGGCAGGGACACCTCCCACTGTCCCAATGTCCAACCTGGCCTTGGGCACTGCCAGGGATCCAGGGGCAGCCACAGCAAATCTGGGAATTCCATCCCCACCCTGCCAGGGAACAATTCCTGCCCAAAATCCCATCTAATCCTGGGAAAGCCATTCCCTGTGTCCTGTCCCTCCATCCCTTGTCCCCAATCCCTGTCCCTCCATCTCCCAAGCTTGGAGCTCTCCGTGCTGGGCTCTAAAGTTCCAAACTCTGCTCCAGGCCCTGCCTTTCCAAGCCCAGCTCCTCCATCCCTCGGGATGCAGGATCAGCACATGGGATCCATCCATGGAGCTCTTCCTGCCCCTCAGGATGGGCAGGATCAGCTCCCAGAGCCTCCCCGTGGTGCTGCTGGCCCCGTGGAGGCAGGGGGGGATATTTGTGTGTGATTATGGTGTTGTTACTGCAACAGTTCCCGAAATCGCTGCGTGGTATTTGCTTGCAACACAGGGTGTCATTCATGAGTTATACATAAATGGCAGCTTTACATATTTAAAAGGAACATGGACTGCTTCATATCTGAAGTATGGTTCCCAGGGGAGAGCACCACCATTTGATCTATTTTTGATTAAAATGTAAAAATTAAAAATTAAATCAAATGGTAGTCAAATTCCTCGGGGAAAACATACTTCAGTTATGAAGTATTCCCCGTAGTAACCTTGAGAATCTTACAGCTGTATTGTCTCATCTGTAGGTGGTCTTTTTATGTCTCACATAATTAAAATGAATTGCTGGTGGAGAACCCCTACTACTGCATACAGATTTATGAACCTGGAGGCACCTCCACTCCCAGACAAACAGGGACAGCCACGGCTCCCTCTGCAGCTGTGCCGTGGCCGGGCAGCCTCTGGAATCTGGGATTTCCTGGGAATCGGGGCTGCACTGGGGAGGGAACCTTTCCCTGTAAAGCCACGCTGCATCCCCAGGGAGGAGCTGGGGCTGGAGGAAAGGACAGGATAACTGAGGTGGGAAAATCCCTCCCAGAGCCCACCCTGTGCCCATCCCCACCTTGTCCAGAGCACTCAGAATCCTCCAGGAATTGCTGGGACACTCCAGGGATGGGGATCCAACCCTCCCTGGGCACTTCCAATCCCTGCCCACCCTTTCCATGGGGAAATTCCCCAAAATCCACCCTGAGCTCCCCTGGCCCAGCCTGGGGCCGTTCCCTCTCCTCCTGTCCCTGTTCCCAGATCCCAAATCCCCCCGGCTGTCCCCTCCTGTCACGGATTGTCCCCTCCTGTCCCCTCCTGAAGAGCCACAAGGGCCCCCCTGAGCTTCCTTTTCTCCAGGCTGAGCCCCTTCCCAGCTCCCTCAGGGATTCTCCAGCCCCTTCCCATCCCTATTCCCTGCCCTGGACACTCTCCAGCCCCTCCAGGGCTCTCCTGCAGTGAGACCCCAGAGCTGGACAGAGCCCTTGAGGTCCCTGTGGTGGCACAGGGGGACAATCCCTGCCCTGGTCCTGCTCAGGACTCAGCCTTTCAAATATCCAAGGAGCCCTTGCTGTACTAAGCAATGGCTAAATGTCACCAGAACATGATTGTGAAATTGGATTTCCTAGGAAAATGTGCTCTGCACAATCTAATGCAACTTATTTCTAGCAAGCTGCTTTATCAGGCTGCCTTGGAATATGGGAATGTATATTTGATCAGATTAGAGAATCGTGGGGATCAGGAAAAATAAGACTCTAGACTTTGCATTCCCATTTTCACCCAGCTGAAGGACAAACATGTCATTTATTTTGTGTTTGGTTGTGATTCTCATGGCCCTGTTAATGTACCCACAGCAGTGGCTTGTGACTGTGCATCCTGCTCAAGCTGTGACTAAAACTTCCCTAACAACATTTCTGTAAAAAAAAAAAGAGGGGTATGGAAGCGAAATGCTTGGATTTATAGAGAAAAGAAAACAATTCTAACAATAAAAGTATCAAGTCTAAGAGTTCCACAGTGCCTGGCAGAAACATTTTGTGATGAGCAGCAGGAGCACTCAAATTTCAGTGTAATACTTGAAAGAAAATGTCTCTGATCTCTGAGTTTCTTTGGAGAGGGGAGTTTTTAATGCATAATCAGACTAAAATCCTCCTGTAATTGCACAGTGAGAGGCCTGTGAAGTTTTGGGGAGGCTGCAGATGGAACACAGACCTCCAGAAGCTCGAAGGATTTTCCTCTTCTCTGGAGGCAGTGCTGTGGAGCCACCCTGAGGTTTTCCAGGTGCAGGCTGCACATGGAATTTCTCTCACCCCTTGCTGGCCATGATGGCTCTGAGAGGCTCCGTGGTCACTGAGCAGTGAAATTCTGTCACTGAACACTCAAACTCCATCCAGCTCCTTTTCACCCTCAGACCATTAACATTCACCTCTTAATTACATGGAATCCCAAATTGGTTTGGGTGGGAAGGGATCTCAGATCCCACCCAGAGCCATCCCTGCCATGGCAGGGACACCTCCCACTGTCCCAATGTCCAACCTGGCCTTGGACACTTCCAGGGATCCAGGAGCAGCCACAGCTTGAATCCTCATTTATTAATTAGTCCTTAATTAATAAAGAGGTGACAACACACCTGTCCTTTTGCCAGTGGTGCCCTAAGCCAGGCTTGTCCATGCCCTGGGAATAACAAGAGTTCATGGAATGTGAATATTCCACTACATCTCCCCAGCAGGGCAGAGCACAGCTAAAATCCCACACTGAAAATCCTCCCTAAGCATCCCAGATCCCTCCCAAAAAATTCTCCCTCTGCTCAAGAACACCTCCCTGAGCACCAGCCTTCATCCCCACCACCCTCATCTTC